CCCCAAGATCTATATCATTCTAAAGATGAAGGGAACTTTGCGCATGTGCATCATGATCATTAACACATTTCTCGTGGAGCACCTAAGAGAATGTCTGTTTATGTTTTAATCCTTTTCACAAAACCTTCTTTTATCATCTTTAAGAGGGGATGTATTTTAATATTGAGAAGCTATGGATGTGTTTTATGTTAGCGGAGATTCTTATTGACGAACTGCCAATTACTCTTATGTTATTAAGAAACAAGACATAGATAGATGTGCAGTTCTTTGCAGTTCAAAAATGAAATCATCATTTATTTTCTTTCCATTATTTCTTGTACTTTTTTCAATTGAAATACGAGGTTCGGGACTTGTAAATGAGCCAAGTCCGATGTTTGTATGTTTATATTGACAACCCATGAGCCTCATTTCAAGTAGTTTTGCAGGAAGAAATATCGAGGCAAATAGCTTCACGTCTAATGAAGTGAAGCTTTAAGTGACATGTGCATATTTTTATATCATTACTCGAACAGACAAGGCCAGCCTCCAGGGAGGTTAATTTCCGAGAAAGGATGTTTGTGAATTGTTCTAACCGCCATATATTTCAAATCCTATTTGAATCAAATTCACAAGTAACACGAGGTCGAGAATATAAAACGTCAACGCTTGAGAAGATTATCCGCCGGTACAAATTCCAGTGGGCGTGAAAGGGGACATAGAGGTGACAAGTTTATTAATGGACCTCTGAAAATCAGTGATGTCTTATGGTGGTCGCGAAAAGGGGTAGCATGTCCTTCTCTACCGGAAGCACTTACCACTCACATACTCACAAAAAAGTAGGTGTGTGAGGCCGCTGCCGGAAGTAAGTATTGCAAAGAAATATCCAACTACATGGAGCTGAATAATCGCCAGTATCCCATGTTTATCATTAAAGGAAGGCACCCATGAAGATTCCGGGGTAGAATAGGTCTTCAGCAACCCATGCTTGCCGTGATAGGCGCCTATGCTTGTCATAAGAGGCGACTAACGGGATCGGGTGGTCAGGCTCGTTGACTTGGTTGATACATGTCATCGATCTGAATTGCTTGGATCGACGCTCATGATATCGATCACTGGATTGTCTGATCCAGACTCGATTATTTTACAGACCGCTGTCATGTAGCTGGAATATTGCTGAGTGCGGCGTTAAACAACAAACAAACCAACCAACCACACATTGTTCCAATGAGGGTAATCGAACCAGGGTTTTCGGCGTGACGAGAGAACGCTTTAACTACTTGGCTACCCCACCGCCCCTTAAGTGATGGAAGCTCGAAGGCGGGTTCTATTCCCAACATGGATGAAAATTGTGAAACCGATTCATATGACATATAAAGGCGGTGTCATATCTTATTCATACAATTTCTGACCGCCTCCGTGGTCTAGTGGTAGATCGTCCGCCCGGAGAGCGGAAGGTCTGGGGTTCGATCCCCGACCGCGTCATACCAAAAGACGTTAAGAGATGGTACTTGTTGTTACCCTGTCCGGCGTTCGGCTTTAAGGGGCTAAAGCAAGGACTGGTCGGCTCGGAGTCAGTATACTGTGTCTGAGTGGGGTATTCATGTTAAACTGAGGCATGGTATCTCACTGAGTTAGCACTATAAATCGGCATCAGTCCGGACTAGTACAAGCAGCCACACAAACACACACACGTACATGCACGTCGCTATATAAGTGCAATAATCTTGGACGCGACGTTAAACCCCATTTCACCTCACCTCATACAATCTCTGTTCAGGCCGTCTATAACCACACGTACACGTCCAGTATAATGATAAGGTAATCTAATTTGATATTACATTACATACATCTGTGAGGTGATTCGAGCTATTATTTAAACGATCCATTGTTAACGAATGGACAGTTGGTTTTGAGTGAGTGAGTATGATTATACGCCGCTTTTAGCGATATTCCAGCAATATCACGGCGGGGGACACCAGAAATGGGCTTCACACATTGTTCTCATGTGTGTACTCGAACCCGGGTCTTCGGCGTGACGAGCGAACGCTTTAACCACTCGGCTACCCCACTGCCCCCTGTTGGTTGTGAATTATGTACTCTTGAAATCAACAGAACAAGTTCTTAATTTTGACACTAAATTGAATGATTTCAAATTTTGCCGGAAACGTGTCACCAGCGGGACTCGAACCCGCATGATATAATTTGAGGACGTGTCGACATGAGCTACACATGATATATAGAATGGTGTGATATTAGAAAAAAGAAAGAAAACCCAACAAAACCAGAAGCAAATATGTGCTGCAGTTTCGTTTACCCACGTCAACATGTACTAAAACACACAATTGTTTAAACTTATTTAGGGCCCCAAGATCTGTATCATTCTAAAGATGAAGGGATTTTTGCGCATGTGCATCATGATCATTAACACTTTTCTCGTGCAGCACCTAAGGGAATGTCTGTTTATTTTGTTAATCCTTTTCACAAAACCTTCTTTTATCTTCCTTGTGTAGGGATGTATTTTAATTTTGAGAAGGTATGGCTGTGTTTTATGTTAGCGGAGATTCTTATTGACGAGCTGCCAATTACTCTTATGTTATTAAGAAACAAGACATAGATGGATGTGCAGTTCTTTGCGGTTCAAACATGAAATCATCATTTATTTTCTTTCCATTATTACTTGTACTTTTTCAATTGGAATACGAGGTTCGGGACTTGTAAATGAGCTAGGTCCGATGTTCGTATGTTTATATTGACAACCCATGAGCCTCATTTCAAGTAGTTTTGCAGGAAGAAATATCGAGGCAAATAGCTTCACGTCTAATGGAGTGCAGCGTTAAGTGACATGTGCATATTTTTATATCATTACAAGAACAAACAAGGCCAGCCTCCAGGGAGGTTAATTTCCGAGAAAGGATGTTTGTGAATTGTTCTAACCGCCATATATTTCAAATCCTATTTGAATCAAATTCACAAGTAACACGAGGTCTAGAATATAAAACATCAACGCTAGAGAAGATTATCCGCCGGTACAAATTCCAGTGGGCGTGAAAGGGGACATAGAGGTGAAAAGTTTATTAATGGACCGCTGAAAATCAGTGATGTCTTATGGTGGTCGCGAAAAGGGGTAGCATGTCCTTCTCTACCGGAAGCACTTACCACTCGCATACTTTGCACAAAAAAGTAAGTGTGTGTTTGTTGCCTGAGGCCGCTGCCTGAAAACAGTATTGCAAACAAATATCCAACTACATGGAGCTGAATAATCGCCAGTATCCCATGTTTACCATTAAAGGAAGGTTATATATGTCCCTGGTTATACTGGATAGCCCCTGTTGGATAATCCCAAGGAGGGTTTTCGTCGGATCTGCATGGCCCGACAATGGTGTTCAATCATGCCCTGACTGCGTGGTCTGTGCTTAAACTGGTTTATCTCGTCCAGGTTAGATTGGTGTACAAGCTGTCGTCATATATCTGGACCTTGTGAGAGAAAACATTCCCCCGTCTACACTCACTCACATTGTACTGGGGAGGTTGATGCTGGGAAAAGTACCTACATGTACGCTGAGGTTCCATGTTATGTATTGATTCCAGACCTCATCGTTAACGCGTGCCACATGGAGATACTGATGTAGTGGATAAAATCAGTTGCTGGATTTTTTAATTACATTTTACCAAAATCCTGCACCACAAGTGCACAGTGCTCTGTTCTGGCACTCGCGGGAGTATACAATGTAACGGTTACCTTTCATCTGTTGTTTTGCTCGCTCTGTTGAATGTTTCCTAGCGTTTTGAGATACACGTTGGACAATGTTGTACTTGGTACCTAAACCATTTCAGTCTTTTGTCTTCCTGTCCACCTATTGTGGCCAGCTGCCTTACTGTTTTACCTGTTAGATAACTGTTATCACGCCATGTGTGCTGTGTCTCGTCGTTTAACCTGCTGTCTATTTTCTTGTTGTTTAACCTTTTGCTGTTTGTTGTCTAACCCATTGTAGTCTACTGTATTGCTGTTTAACCCATTGTAGTCTACTGTATTGCTGTTTAACCCATTGTAGTCAACTGTATTGCTATTTAACCCATTGTAGTCTACTGTGTTCCTGTTTAACCCATTGTAGTCTACTGTATTGCTATTTAACCCATTGTAGTCTACTGTATTGCTGTTTAACCCATTGTAGTCTACCATATTGCTGTTTAACCCATTGTAGTCCACTATATTACTGTTTAACCCATTGTAGTCTACTGTATTGCTGTTTAACCCATTGTAGTCTTCTGTATTGCTGTTTAACCCATTGTAGTCTACTGTATTGCTGTTTGACCCATTGTAGTCTACTGTATTGCTGTTAACCCATTGAAGTCTACTGTATTGCTGTTAACCCATTGAAGTCTACTGTATTGCTGTTTAACCAATTGTAGTCAACTGTATTGCTGTTTAACCCATTGTAGTCTACTGTATTGCTGTTTAACCCATTGAAGTCTACTGTTTTGCTGTTTAACCCATTGTAGTCTACTGTATTGCTGTTTAACCCATTGTAGTCTACTGTATGGCTGTTTAACCCATTGTAGTCTACTGTATTGCTGTTTAACTATTAGATTACTGTAATCACCGCATGTTTGTGGTGACCAGAAACATTTGCATTCGGCAGAATTAATTCAGAAATAAATAGTGGCTTTAAGAGGTTTGGGCGACTTTTTAAGGGTTTTCGGAATCAGAAAATGGAATCGTATCAATGAACATAAGACGTATTATCGCAAAGACATGTTATTTTGCTCAGTTTGTAAAAAGAAGTCCGCAAGCTCCACACTTTTGATCACATTTTGACCAATGGGATGTATGTGTGGATGTCAATACAAAATGCCTTCTTACGTTTTTTGTTTGTTTTGGGGTCTACAAAAATAACTGAGTCGCAAGACTTTCCAGACTTACGACAACAGGCGCTCCATATCAACCGAACATTACAAAAACATGATACGAGTTATCTGTGTTACGAACTTTCTTGAGCAAAAACATAACAAGTTTTTCCACATTTATCCTAAGTATGGCGATACAAACATTTATTACAACAACAAATCCACAGAACACATATATTTCTTTGTTTCCTCCAAACCAATGGCTACCATTCTACACCTGTCGCCGCCATGAGAACTTTAAGTTTGTTGTGTCGGTGACATGCGCAAGACGTTTTGAATTATGTTTCCCGTTCGACGTCTCACTCAGTAGTCGCACAGAGTCTTTAGATCCACAACAACTAAACACTGATACAAATCCCTGACGGAACCGCTTGTTCATGAAACAGTAAGTGATTGGGTGAATGCAGGACGACAAATACGCCAACAAGAATATGGTGGACTTGACAGTGAGGCTCACGCTACGTCTCGCACTGAGATAATCCATGACCGTCCACGTGTTCACGAGAAACAGTGGTGTCCAGCAGATGAAGTACTCCAGGACCACAACGCACAACATCTTCATCACTCTTTTCTTGTTCATCAGGATCTTATGGTAGTTCGCCTGCCGGAAGTTGGTTTGGAGGAGAAGTGGGTGAGTTATCTCCCCTGGGCCGCGTGGTTCGGTACGGCGAAGGACAATGGGGGATGGACCGCTGGATGTTGTGGAATGAGGGTCCTTCACTACGTATCGAACTGGTTCCAGTGACTCCCCCTCTGAAATGGAATCGTCAGTTACCTTTAGGGACATACAATGACAATCTTTTATTGTCCTTTACGCCAACAAACCCATAAAACAAATGCATTTACTATGAGATGAAAAAAGATAATGTGATATTTCCATGGAAGTTAAGGACCACCTGATTCTTGCAATAGTATGGCGTGACTATGGCGTGACTAAAGCGTGACTATGGCATGACTATGGCGTGACTATGGCGTGACTATGGCGTGACTATGGCATGACTATGGCGTGAGTATGGCGTGACTATGGCGTGAGTATGGCGTGACTATGGCATGACTATGGCGTGAGTATGGCGTGACTATGGCGTGACTATGGCAATGACTATGGTGTGACTATGGCGTGACTATGGCGTGACTATGGCGTGACTATGGCGTGACTATGGCATGACTATGGCGTGAGTATGGCGTGACTATGGCATGACTATGGCGTGAGTATGGCGTAAGTATGGCGTGACTATGGCATGACTATGGCGTGAGTATGGCGTGACTATGGCGTGACTATGGCAATGGCTATGGTGTGACTATGGCGTGACTATGGCGTGAGTATGGCGTGAGTATGGCGTGACTATGGCGTGAGTATGGCGTGACTATGGCAATGACTATGGTGTGACTATGGCATGACTATGGCGTGAGTATGGCGTGAGTATGGCGTGACTATGGCGTGACTATGGCATGACTATGGCGTGAGTATGGCGTGACTATGGCGTGAGTATGGCGTGACTATGGCGTGACTATGGCGTGAGTATGGCGTGACTATGGCGTGACTATGGCAATGACTATGGTGTGACTATGGCGTGACTATGGCGTGACTATGGCGTGACTATGGCGTGACTATGGCAATGACTATGGTGTGACTATGGCATGACTATGGCGTGAGTATGGCGTGACTATGGCATGGCTATGGCGTGAGTATGGCGTGACTATGGCATGACTATGGCGTGACTATGGTGTGACTATGGCGTGACTATGGCATGGCTATGGTGTGACTATGGCGTGAGTATGGCGTGACTATGGCGTGACTATGGCGTGACTATGGCATGGCTATGGTGTGACTATGGCGTGACTATGGCGTGACTATGGCGTGACTATGGCGTGAGTATGGCGTGACTATGGTGTGACTATGGCATGGCTATGGTGTGACTATGGTGTGACTATGGCGTGACTATGGCGTGACTATGGCATGGCTATGGTGTGAGTATGGCGTGACTATGGCGTGACTATGGCGTGAGTATGGCGTGACTATGGCGTGACTATGGCAATGACTATGGTGTGACTATGGCGTGACTATGGCGTGACTATGGCGTGACTATGGCGTGACTATGGCAATGACTATGGTGTGACTATGGCATGACTATGGCGTGAGTATGGCGTGACTATGGCATGGCTATGGCGTGAGTATGGCGTGACTATGGCATGACTATGGCGTGACTATGGTGTGACTATGGCATGACTATGGCATGACTATGGCGTGAGTATGGCGTGACTATGGCAATGACTATGGTGTGACTATGGCGTGACTATGGCGTGACTATGGCATGGCTATGGTGTGACTATGGCGTGAGTATGGCGTGACTATGGCGTGACTATGGCGTGACTATGGCATGGCTATGGTGTGACTATGGCGTGACTATGGCGTGACTATGGCGTGACTATGGCGTGAGTATGGCGTGACTATGGTGTGACTATGGCATGGCTATGGTGTGACTATGGTGTGACTATGGCGTGACTATGGCGTGACTATGGCATGGCTATGGTGTGACTATGGTGTGACTATGGCATGGCTATGGTGTGACTATGGCGTGACTATGGCGTGACTATGGTGTGACTATGGTGTGACTATGGCGTGACTATGGCGTGACTATGGCATGGCTATGGTGTGACTATGGTGTGACTATGGCATGGCTATGGTGTGACTATGGTGTGACTATGGCGTGACTATGGCGTGACTATGGCGTGACTATGGCATATACTAATTTCGAAGAATCGGGTGGTCCTTAACATGTTTTTAGTAGTATATGTATTGTTAATTAGTTACATTTCTTGTATACCTATTCGTTTGTTAGCAAGATGTATCGATATTAAGTGTTTGTTTAAAATCGCAGTCAGCAATATTCACGGTGGCCTGTAGTGAGTGAGTGAGTATGGTTTTACGCCGCTTTTAGCAATATTACAGCAATATCACGGCGGGGGACACCAGAAATGGGCTTCACACATTGTACCCATGTCGAGAATCGAACCCGGGTCTTCGGCGTGACGAGCTAACGCTTTAACCACTAGGCTACCCGACCGCCCCTCGGTGGCCTGTAAATAGTAGAATCCAATGATTGAAGTCATGAGCAACGATCGATGCTCATGATGTCAGTCACTGGATTGTCTGGTCAAGACTTGATTATTTACAGACCTCCGTCATATAGCTGGAATATTGCGGCGTTAAACAACAAACAAACAAACAAACTCTCTAACTAAAGAAAGGAATGACTTACCTGGTTTACCTGAAACAGGAGTTGGTGGACCGTGGGAGTTCAAGTCCTTGCCCAGCTCGTAGGCAACTCTGCCATACGAGGTCGCCATTATGATAAGCGGCATCAGTAACAACACAACGTCCAGCAGTCCTGTGTACAACTTCTCCGCCAGTGAGTTATCCCATATCTCCCTACAGGCGAGACTTCCGCTGACGAGGGGGGTGACTTTGTTGTAGCAGGCAATGGGGACCATCAGAATAAACACGACCACCCAGATGCCGCATATGACCTTGTAAGAATGGGAGAGCGTTTGCCAGCGTCGGGAACGTAATGGTTGACATATAGCGTAGAAACGTTCCAGGGAGATTGCCACCAGGGTAAAGCAGCTCACGCCGACTGACACCGCTGCAAAAAGTAAAAAGCATATTAGAATAATGGGATATTTAAATCCAGGCCTGGTGAGTGGAAGGTCGGCGGTTCGCGCCCCATCGCGTCATACCAAAAGACGTTAAAAGATGGCACTTGTTAACCTGCCTGGCGCTCGGCATTAATGTGTTTGTAGTCAGTAGAGTTGAGTGGCATTGATGAGCTTTGGCATCACATCTCAGTGGGCACACACACACCCACAAGGCGCCACAAGGAACGCTGTAGGTTTCGTATATGGTGACGTTCGGTTTCATACCATATTACCAGACTGACAAGTATCATATTGTTTAGGAAAATTAAAAGGATATAAAAATGAATTTGAGATTTGTAAATACTTCTTTCGTCTCTTTGCCCTTAGTGATAATAAAGACTGTATCTGTAGTTCTTGCCTCATGCTAAAAACAGACATAACAAACACAGGCAAGTGTTGAGATCATACAATAAGCGAATGATACCATGTTCCGCTCCAGTGCACCAGTTATATCACAGCGGGCAGTGATTGATAGCGTCTGGGCATGGAAAACAAGTGATCGATAGCATTAACAACAATCCACACCTTCGATGTAAAGCACACAATAAACCAGATCACACAATGTACAAGCCGATCATAATTTCAGCTGTTTTTCGCGTCATGTGAACCTGTTCTGTCCGGGAATAACGTCGAAGGTCATCTCAAGTAAAATAGACAAAACGCTCCATAATCATGAATAAAATCCACGAAACTACTTCCATAATCATAAGAATTTCCATTGTACGATCCCGACTTTATCATAAACATGTGTTCATTAATTACTATAAAACAGTGATAATACCAGGTGCTCGCGAAAACGTGAGCCTATCCTGCTCCACTCGTGGCACCCGTCACAAACACATGCAAAGGCGAGGCAATTGTTTATCTGAACAAACACGGCAATACCAACACAGAGATTTGCATCGGACAACCTTTTAGTCAACTTTGGAAATGTCCCCCACATGTCTACAATCACACTTTTTGAAAGCCTAACTAGGGCGTTCAATGCGGATTGAATGCTAACCATGATCAAACATTTGTGCAGGAGTTTCATGGTAAGAGCATGCTTGTTTGTACAATAAATGTTGTGAAATGTAGACATAAAAAACTGGAGCTGCTGGAATATTGCCCAAAATAAATAAAAAGTTGGCTACTGAATGGTTGAAGCCATCCCTCTTATCATACAGCCTTGTGAATAACTTTCAGTCAGTCTGAATATTATGCACATAACAAATTATGAAACAGATGCTGCTGTTTCGTTGGTCTTTTTTTTTCTTGAAAGATATCAGACCATCGATATACCAGAAGCTGAAGTTAAACTTCTTAGCCAAATTCCCGTGTTTTGATATTGCAAATCCGAGCAGAAATTTCTACCAAGAAACAGACCATCAAGAAGAAGATTTAGAGCACAATAATATTTGGTTCTCATGCGGGAACCACTTCCTGCCTATATGTACCCCCAAAACATGCTATCTTTGAGAACGTCCAGCATTTGGCATATTGTTTTCTCATTTAACATCAGACGACATTTGCTTTCATTGATGACAAATTGTCCAGAACCGCAACTATATCAGTGGTCACTTCGTTGAGTTACACATGCCCAATGGATCAATGAATGAAGTTTTTCCTGAAGTTTTGTCGTGTGGGATAGCGGTGTACACAGAAGAAAATCATATGTTTTGACAGAATTGAATTTGGTTCCATAGTAATGAAATGAACATGAACTACTTAATTTATTGTCATAACCAGAAAATGTATATTTCATATACTTGCTTCGACTTTGTTGGATTCTTCCAAGGACTCTATAAACAATATAGGTTAATTCAAGGGTACAAAGCATCTAAATCCGCAAATCTGATATATCGAACAATAACATTTCCATTGTTTCTTGTCATTTACAGTTTCACATCCCGAAACAGTAAGTTGTATTCAGTACTCAAATGTTTGTCATGTGTACTCTTTCCTGATGTTGATAATGCACAAGGCAGTCTTACACATATAGAGACAAGGACAACTACATAACACCTCTCTGATTAATGCATGTTCGGTTTTCTTCATCACAATGATCCGAAACAAAGATCACCGTGCCATAATAATTTTAAGGACATACGTGTAAATAATGCCATGGCATTCATGTAACATTCAGACAACTATACGTTCTGATGTATTGGGGGATTTATTAAACGCAGACATTCCCTACAGACTGTTCCTTCTTGAGTCGTGCATCCTCCAGGTAGACTCTCGTTACGTGCTGAGAGGCCATAAAGTCTACACCCAGCAGTACTGGTGTCTGGGTTCTGTCTACGGTACTGAAGCCAATGAGGTACTGGGAGTGTACCAAGTGTGTAATTAATGGCTGTAGTAAGTGCCACTTATACCGCCATGTACATATTCTGTACTGACATTACGGTGTCGTCCTCAGTTGGACCCTTGTGCGTGCCACTACACCCATCCTTCATCACTTCACTATGAGCGTATGCCCATTATATCCATTACAGGGAACATTCGACGCATAAGTTATGATAAACAGTCCATAATGCACTCGCCGGAATTTGGGTTTTTGTGCAGAAAGTGAGTGAGTGAGTGAGTATGGTTTTACGCCGCTTTAAGCAATATTCCAGCAATATCACGGCGGGGGACACCAGAAATGGGCTTCACCCATTGTACCCATGTCGGGAATCGAACCCGTGTCTTCGGCGTGACGGGCACCGCTTTAACCACAAGGCTACCCGACCGCTCCTTGTGCAGGAAGAAGAAGAAGAAGAAGAAGAAACCGTCAATGTGTGATTATGCATCAAAATGTAAATATGAAATGTAGATTATGCAATGAATTCAATTAGGATGATCAACACATTGTCGGTGGATGCCAAGCTTTGGCACAAACACAGTATCTTTAGTGACATGATGGAGTGGTTCGATATCTTTATTACAAGTATTACTTGCTAGGGGTTTTGACACAGGTCCATCCATGGTACGACGTAGAGGGTGTAATGGACAATGAAAACTTTATTTCTTTTGAATAGGTTGATCTTGTCTTGTTCTTTTTGATAAATTCAGTGAAATCATTTACATCATTGACTTTTCTGTCCCTCTTGACACTAAAGTGATTGACAAGATTCCGGAAAGGCATGACAAATATGCGGACCTCGTTTTCGCAATGTCACGCTTGCATCCCAAGTATTTAGATGTCCGACTCCCCATTGTTCTCGGTGCTTTAGGTTTGGTACCTCCCAATCTGTTGACTGACATTGGGAGAGTACCCGGCCGGGTTCGCTGCCGGGAATACGGCCCTTCTGACACTCTGGGTAATGCAAGAAGACTGAAGTGTTGGGGAGTCTTCACATTCTCCGAAAAGTTCGGAGTGGGTTTGACAAGGCAGCGCTTCCTGGGAGAAGTCCCATTCGCTGTCTGGGATGTGTGGGGCAAAGGCCCTGAGCTGATGATGTGCCAGGATAACCCAAACCCTCTGTGCTGCAATTCATATTTTAATCTGTAAATAATACTCCGAAGCACTGCATTATTATTAGCCCGGTCAATGGACCAGTGCGCACACTATTTTCATTCTCACCTCCCTGGGGAGTACACTGACCAAGCTGCCTGTGAAGATTAACAGTCACATTTCCATCTCACCCTACCGGGTACCAATTCACTGTTGAATGAACAGAGGCATGTTGCAAACAAAGTCACTTGCCCAAGGAGACACCACATGTTCTCTATTGGCTGCCTCGTTGTAGTGTTACCTTTGTACATTAATCCTACCTTATGTAAACATATCTATCAGCCTGTATATACATTAACCTTAATATACTTACATAGTATTCACCTGGTGAAGGGGCAAGTCGTGAGTCATGAAATGTAGTTACAGACAAAAAATGTTATCAATAAAGGTGTCATGTCTTCAAGTTCTTCCAACATGTAAATGCCTACCAAAGAATTGACTTCAGCTACAGCTGTTTGAAAGATGCAGATGTACAAACAGTTGCATAACTTTTGAACCTAATATGATATCAAAAATATATTCAAGATTTCAAGTTTAATTACTATAAATGCCATAATATAGCCTATCAAAGGAAATGCCATGAAGTTTGAAATTACAAAACATTTCGTTATCATCGTCTTTACAAATTACAATTTCGGAAAATGCAGGCACATCCGCGTTCCTAGTCACATACATGTAATTTTCACCCTATTTTGCCCTTTACGCCAAGTGAAATCTATTTGGGCAGATAGTCGCGACTGATTGTTCTATGACGTTGACAGATTGTATCATGTTGAGGTAAGCAGTTCGTGTGTTCTGAATAAAAGAGACAAACCCATTTCCATGTTCATAAGAAATCTCTGCCAAACACAGAGTCGATTGTACGATTGTGACTATATGATGAGCAAAGTATTTCCATAATCACAAGAAATCACCACTAAAAGCAGAGTCCATTGTGCGATTCCGACTACATCATAACCTGGATCACTATCAAATAGTGATGCTATCCTGTCCCACCGGTGGAAAACCATTAATCAACGCATTACTTGGCAAATACAATTTCACGAGCCCAATATGGATTGATAAAGATTAATCCTGTTCAATGATATAATGATATAAATAAGTTCAGAGGTCACCATCGCATCACTAGTTTTCAGTGATCCATTCATATAAGTTCCACCGCTTTTTCACCATTTACCTTCAACAGAATCTGCGTCAGCGGATTATCGAGACCAGTTATTCTCTGGCATTGTAATATATTTACTGTGTTGTGGATTTTGTGGCAATAGTATTACAACTGCATGGCAAGGTTTGAATAGGTTTATGGTTGGCACCATTGGTAAATCAAATCCATCGTATTGTGTAGACAATGCATCACATTCACATATGAACATGTAGTGAGTGAGTGAGTGAGTGAGTGAGTGAGTGAGTGAGTGAGTTTGGTTAACGCCACTTTGAACAGTATTTCACATATATCACGGCGTGTCAGCT